AAAGGACAAGGGGCAGGTGGCCAGGGATTAACCTGCTTCAAGTACAGCTCTCCTCAGCAGGTCCCCAAGCAGTTGAAGATGAGGAGGGAGGCCTAGGAGATGAGCAGAAGGCAAAGTTGAAGTACAAAGGTGAAGGGAAAGAAAGAGCAAAGAAAGAAAAAGGTAGGGGGAAGGGAGAGAAAGTGCGGACAGAAAGAGCACAGGGTGAAGATGGGTTTCTAATAATTTTGATGGTAAGTTTGCTAGTATAAAGTAAATGAGGTGACTTTTCCAATTTGCTTTTCAGATAATACTCTAGGGCAGTGGTCCCCAACCTTGGGCCTCCAGATGCTCTTGGACTACATCTCCCAGAAGCCTTCACCACCACCTCTGCTGGCCAGAATTTCTGGGAGTTGAAGTCCAAGAACATCTGGAGGCCCAAGGTTGGGGACCACTGCTCTAGGGGATAAACTTATGGCTGAAATTCAGTAACAAATCACAACTAGACTAGGCCCACTGAAAGCAGAATTTACAAAGGAGCTGATTCAATCGATCCCCATTGATTCAGTGGGTCTACTGTAATTGCAGCTAACCACTGGATTTCACCCTGTGCATCAGACTGCAATTTCAGCCATAAAGGAGACTGACCTTTTTCTTTAGGTTTTCCACAAGGACTTTTTTCCCTTATTGGTACTAGAAAACACTTTGAATGCTAAAATGTATGTCTGTTCAAGAAAGAAACCTTTTAATTTACTCATCCCAGTGCTTGATGCAAACTTAGCTAGAATTTGCAGATGCTCTCACAGAAAATCAGAGTTTCTGAAATTAGAATTCCTTACGAACAACTTTACTAAAGTATGGAGACTCAATTATGTAAAATCATGACCTTGTAAGAGTTATCTGAAGGCTGATTATAGAAATAGATGAATTACACATCAGAATGCACTTCCTAAATTGCAGTTAAGCACATACAAAGTCAAGAATTTAATCACCAAAGTAAAATCAAAGCGTCCCTTATTATACAGAGATTTTGTGTGGTGACAAAAAATTTCTATGATATAACAAAAACCCCAGAAATAATGGCCTTTTAAAGGAGATTTAAATGAAATACAAGGAAGCAAATATCTAGTTTTTGTGAAGTGAAATTAATAAAGCTATACTGAGTCACATCAGCCATGACTCTCTCTCTAGAATTCAATAAATAGCTTTACTGGAGTTTAAATATGAAAATTAGCAAAACTAGATAAATCAATTCTGACACAATCTTTAAAGGGTGGGTGGGAGAGAATTATCCTCAATCCTTTATTGCTGTGAAGGAAAGCTATTCATCGTATGCAGTCTTTGGTCTGTTTCCCAAAACAACCATATATCTGGCATTATTTGTGAGCTAGACAGTAGGAATACAACAAAGAAGCTTAAGACACCTTTAAGACTCACAAGTATGAATTGGCATGAGCTTTCATGAACACAGCCAAATTTTTTAAGAGGCAGGGAGCACAATATTCAAGCTGAAGACTCATACGCTTTATATATGGCTTGAGTACCATGCCTCTGAAAAAGGGGTCTGTGTCTATGACAGTTCATTCCAAAGAAAATTTGTCACTCTTAAAGTTTCCACAAGACTTTGGATACGGTGTATGTGTGTGCGAAAATACACAGGGATATAGAACATTCTCAAGGCTTGACCTCATTTATTAATACTGTACATGGGAAAAACAGAAAATCTACTTTGCAAGTGAATAAGGATTAAAACGAAAATTGATGGTGTAGTGACTGCTGAAAGGAGAGCTCTTGCAGGTTATTGTGAAGTGGGGCCACATGGAGGACCTTGTGAGTCTTCTGGAAGGTCCTGGAGCAGAAAAATGGTCCCCAGAACTCCAAAAATTGAACATCTTGGACCTTTTTTTAGCTATTTCTCTTTGACTTAGCCAGATGAGCAACATCTGGCAATCAGAAGTTGGCTGTACAAGTTGTTGTTATTGTTGTTTCATTGTTGTGTCTGACTCTTCGTAACCCCATGGACCAGAGCATGCCAGACCCTCCTGTCTTCCACTGCCTCCCAGAGTTTGGTCAAAGTCATGTCGGTAGCTTCAATGACACTGTCCAGCCATCTCGTCCTCTGTCGTTCCCTTCTCCTCTTGCCTTCACACTTGCCCAACATCAGGGTCTTTTCCAGGGAGT